TAAATGCCAAGTACAATTAACATCGACTGGATATTTCGAAGGCACGTTGAAAAATGGTGACTGAATTTGACCAGTTTTACTATGAATACTCCCTCCACAATTGGCCAAAACTATCCTGGCTTTAAACCCATTACTCGGGTCATTCAACTCTGTGAAAAACTTCACAAACATCATATTATCGGTACTAAACTGGGAATTTGGTTTTTCGCAGAATTTTCCGATTAGTCTCGAATATTGAGTACCACCGTCGCGCACTTCAACATATTCGTTTGTACAACTGCAAAAACTGTTAACTGTTGCTCTATTTACAATTTTATAAACTTACTTATTTTGGATTTTTAAATCGAATCTGTCAATAAAATCAATGCGAATAATTTCACCAGGCGGAGCCATTATTCTCCAATTGCACTCTACATGAGGCGGCGGTATATTTGGGTAATTGGGAGAATGTATTTCTGTGGCGTTGGCAAATTTTGTTAAAACTATTTCACTATCGCATGCATAGGACACTTCGCGGTAGCGTAAAACAAAATTCTGAAAATTATTAAAGTAACAAAAAAAAGTGTTTGTGTTTTGAATACCGTTAAACTGCTAATTCCTTCAAATTTAATAAAAGCGTTATTTCCGGTAGTTTTAAGAGTTGGTGGTTTTTGTTCTCCACAATATTTACCACTGCCGAGGATTGGCGAATCTGGAAATTTTCCATTTCGGATCTGGAAACTCATATTTAGAAAAATTCTCATCTTAACAAAAAAAATTATACCATAAGATAATTGTCGCAACCTTTGTTGGTATCGTGGTGTATATTGAAGGACAAGAATTCCATTTCTATTGTCCTACCACTACGGACGGTGATGTTCCATTGACACTACATTTTAAAATGATTATTAGAAAAAATATAGGTAATAGTCTACGACAATGTCAGTTTAATTTTAGTTTAAAAATAAACTTTCAACTTTGTTTTGTGCATTTCGTATTGCAAAAGTATTACCCAAGGAGGTTAGATGGATCTAACCTTCTTGGTATTACTAGTAATTGAGCACCAACCTTATAAAGAACAATCGAAACTCTAAAAAAATACACAGACAAATTTCTGGTTAAAATACATTTCATTTGAAGTATCGTAAAGGAAGTGGTGCCTTTTATAAAAATTTGAAGAGGTTGTCTTTATTACCAAAAGGGTAGGTACTACAAATTACAAAAGTATATACTAAAAGGTGTCCCCTTGGAAATAAAAATTGACCTGTCTCGGAATTTTCTAATTTTTGTTTATTTTTCTGAGATATCCAAGGTGGTTCGTTTTTAAATAAATCAGTAGGTATAAACTTTACTATTAGTCTGTGGGCTAGGGGGGGGGGTGATCACTTAGTTCCATAATTTTTATTTACCCGGTATAGGTATTCACAACATTCCAAAAATGTTGAACGATGTTCACTGTGAGTTAGTAGTAAATTGTATTTTTTCAAGGTAATTGTGCAAGTTGTGAAATAATACATTAAAAAACGCGTTTCGAAAGGCAAGTTTTGTAGAACGAGTTCAGCAAAGCGGGAGTTTTTATAAAGAACGAGTTCCCACAAATGACTGATGCAACAAGTTTTTTATACTATTGTTTTTTGCGCGTTTTACGTACTTTTTTAACATAAAAGTCAATTTTTCAAAATTTAGCAACTTTTGCTTTAATAAGGTGGTGGTTGGTAATAAATGTCACAAAGTGTGAAAAATTCGATTTTCGAAGTGTCAAGTCTCAAATATTTTAAGCGCTAAATATTTTTTTTAATTGATAATATTTTATACATAACTTAAGGACTGTTGGCCGCACTTGCCGTTACCATCACTGAACCTCTCACCCTCTCGGGAAGGGTAGTTTACTTTTACAAAATTTTAGTTTTTCAACGATTCTTGAAAATTCCTTTTTGTTTATTTGAAGACACCTTTTTGGTTGTCAATTTTTTAAGGCGCAAATTCTGGAATACTAAAAATCGTTGTAAAACTAAAATTTTGCAAAAGAAAACTACCTTTCTAAGAAGGGAAAAAGGTTGAGTGGTAGTAGCAGCAAGTGCGGCTGATAGTTCTTAAGAGATGTGTAAAATATTGTTAATTAAAAAAAATATTTAGCGCTTAAAATCGTTGAAAAACTAAAATTTTGTAAGAGTAAACTACCCTTCCCGAGAGGGTGAGAAGTTCAATGGTG